AAAAATCTTTCTCTCTAAAAAAAGAGCTTATGGGTTTGGGTGGATATTCCTTTAAAGATTTTTGATGTTTTACTTTTTCTGATTTTTTTTTTTTTTGGAGAAGTTTTTGCTGTAGGAGGCATGTGCTTGCCAGAAAGAGAGACAGAAAGCGAGAAATCACCCCCCAGGAGGGATGGCCACGCTGCAATCCCTTCTCCATTCTTGTCTTGGGATCAAGGAAACACATGCACACGCGCCCGGCGTGAGTTTAAGCCACCGGGTCCGGGACTCAAATTGCAGTTGACTACATGGGAGTTCAGCAACATAGCCATTACGCTAACTGCTGGTCCCACGTTTTACTTTTTAAATTCACTATAGGGCTTATGAGTTTGCTGGAGAGAGCGAGAGAGAGAGAGAAAGAGAAAGTAAGAAAGCATTTTCTGGGGGGATGGCCGTACCATAATTCCTTCTCCTCCATTCTTCTCTCAGGAGTTTGGGTACACACATGCACCCAGCAAATTTCTAGAACGCTTTGGCTCAGAACTTGAACTGCATAGACAGTTATGTTAACCACCCCACCACCAGCTAGCCCAAGATTTGGACTTCTTTTTTTTTTTTTTTTAAAGCATTATTGGGAACCAGTAGTTAGTGAAAGAATAAAAATGCACTCAAACTACATTCTGTGATAATTAACTGCTTGCTGTTCCTGCCTCTGTACAAAAGCTCGCACCACCACCTTAGAAAACAGCCCTGAGCTATGCAGACCGCTGGGGCTTGCTTCACTCCCTCATATCAGCTCAGCTACATGCAAACTGTGTTACCCCCACCCTGAAAAGCCAGACATCTGCTGAATGCCCTTGAAGGCCACTTGTGTAGATAACAAACTGGCATCGGACCAGTCTGAGTATCTGACCTGACCCAGTTGTAACATCTGTGTAAACAAGAAAGTCAGCAGAGAAAGATTACCACACTTAATGAACCAGTATCCCACTTCCCCACTCCCCATTCTCGCCTTCACCCCTCAAACCTGTGCCTATATAATCTGCATGCTTCTTTTGTTCGGGGCTCCACTTCCCTCTGAGTCTGTTGTGACCAGGAGTGGAGTCTTAGCGCGCTAGCAATAAAGCCCTCTTGTGTTTTATAGCAAGAACTGACTCTTTTTTTTTTTTTT